AATTATATTCAAATCCGGGTTACTAATAAGGGCTAGTTAATAAGTGATATTAACTTATAAAAAATAAAAATAATTAAGCCGAGTTCATTTAAAATCATAAACGATTTCGATTATCTAAGTTGTGTTACACATTTCGAATTGAATAATAACTTCGGCCAGGTTAAAAGTTATTTTTTAAAAAACTACCTTTAATGGAACAACGTCGTATAGATGTATAGTTTTTCACACAACGCGTTCGTAAATGTCTTCAATTTCAACAAAACAATTATTGTTAATGTTAAAATTATTTATCTAAAGAACAAACTTTGCTATAAATATAGTTATTTCTTAACGTTCTATATTTTTTAAACAGGTTTTATTTGAGGGTTCCAAACAAGTAACTTTTCAATTAGTTTCCTTCAAATTCTGCCAAGATACGACTTTATTAAGTACAATACTTTTTTTATAAAAACGAATTTTAATTCTCATGTTAATGTACGTAAATTCGTTTATCGCAAAATAAAGTTATTTTTGTTTGAAAATGTTTAATTTGGTGTATGCGCATTATGTACGAATTTACTATTTAGATTATCGTTATGGTAAATTTAATTTTTAATTGTTATACGTAATATTAAATTGTGCTAAAAAAAAAAAAAAAAAAAAAACAAAAAATTCGACTGCCCATAGGAAAACGATAAGTAGATGTGACCGTGTGGGGCTTTTCGATCGAATCGTTCGATTTCAAATATATTCTTTGTTTCGTGTGAAAAGATTAAAATTTTAATGAACTACGAGTACTTCAATAATTGCATTTTATCCAATCGAATTCGAAGTAAACGTGGTCGCGCGTCACCTTGTCATACTTTAATTCACATAATTGAATAGAATGCGGGAATATATTATGCATGAACGAAAGAAAAAAAAAAAGCCAAAATCCATTAATATTATACTATGCGAGTAAATTATAATTTTCTAGCGAATATCTAATGTATATATATATAAAAAAAAAAAAAATATAATAATAAGCGACTTGTTTGCGAAAAAACGAACCGTATAGTAAAGAGTTTATAACTGCATTGACTTTTCAATCAAAACTTATTAACAATAATAATAATAATAATAATAATAATAATAAAAAAAACACAACAAAGACGAGTTCGAGTAGAAACAGTTTGAGGTTACAGTTCGGCCGAGATTTAGAATGATTAAAAAAAAAAAAAAAAAAAATGTTTTGTGTAACGATTTTTTTTTTTAAAACGTTTTGACTCCGTCTGTAGCATTACTGTACCGGAACAGTATATACTGAGTGGCACGTACAGCATAACGTCCGAACGCTAATAACCCTGTCAATGTTGGTTTGTTTTTTTTCTAATTTTTTTTTTTTAACGAATATCGACAGGGATGTTTCGGATAACACAGTGTATCGGACCCCCTGTATTATTTACGGAGAGACTTCATCGTCGCGCGACGGTTTTAAATCGAATCGATTTCCGCGCGGTATTTTAAGTATAACCGCTCCCGCCCTCCGACGTTTCGGTTTTGCAAATAACTCGCCGAACATCGGCGTGCCCCGGTCGTGTCGTTATTCCGCGCGCGTGCCGTTTCGCTAGTACAACGTGACTCGCGGTGTAGGTTTACACGTTTTAACACGGAGATTCGTTTGAAATTCCGGACGTATTTTTGACGCAAACGCTACGCGCTGATCGATTATTTTCGATCGATACGATATACGGGGTGTCCTATAGACGTGTTGTCCGTCGACTAATAACTCTGTTTTAAGATTTTTAGCGGAACGAGGAATGCAGTGGTTTTACAACGGTGTTTATTTTTCCGTGGACGATTTTTGTACCGGAAATAATTTTCCTCCGATTAACTGCATTATAGCGCTTTATCTAAACGGAAATCTGACTTGGGAACTTCCCTGTATGCGTATTCCGATCGAACCCAAGTGGAATTTTAGGAAACCCGTCAGGGAGACGAAACTTCCGAAGAAATACTTTTCACACACGCCCATTTTCGTTTAAAAATAAAATATTATGTGAATAGTGTTTAAAAATAAACTAGTAATGCAATTCAGTAGTGTTCGTCTTGGGTCGAGCTATATAATTCACACACGCATACACATATTGTTTTTTAAAACATCCGAGGGTTGTGCATCCGGGATAAAGAGTCGGAATTCCGTAACGCCTCGAATTCAAACAAATAAAAAACAAGTGTCAGAAAAATGTATAATTTCACAAGCATAAAAAATCGTCGGTATGGATTCGGAGCAATGTTTCAACCGAAAATACATTTTTTTTTTTAACACATATTAACCAATTTTAATCTAATAGTATTCATTCTTTGAGTTTAAAATGGTTTTTAAAGTCTAAAAATGTACAAAGTTCTAAAATACGCAATAAAAAAAAAGGCTAAACAATATAATTGTTTATACACTCATTGGCGCAAATAGGGGAGGTCAGCCCTCTTAAATCTCAGAAATCAAAATATCATAAAGTAAACACTGAGTTCCTATACATAATCGATACGCGAAGACTTATGTCCCCCAGAATATTCGCTATAAGTCTGTGACGTATAGAATCGACAGGACACGAAACGTGATATTTTGATATAATAACACTGTAGCTATTTTTTTTTGACCGACCGATAAATATACAATGCAAAAGCATATTATTCTATACAGCAAACACCCCAGTGTCATGAGCAACGACAAGCATAATAATATACGAGTGTCTCGAAACCGCGGGTAAAATTAAATTTAAAAAAAAAAAAAAAAAAATGCTTTTCGCTTTACGATAACGTTTTACGCGTTGCGTTCAAGGACGAAATGGCGAAACCGACCGGCCGAGTCGTGAACCGGTCAGCCGGCGACAAGATGGCGGCGTCGTTCGCTCGTCCCGCAATCCCATTGGTTCGCCGTAACACTACTACTTTTATTAAATTAAACAATATTAGTAAATTACGATCGACGTGACAAACGGCGCTGTTTACGTGTCGCATAGCCATTACGAGCATTGTGCGGAACGTTTACGCGACGTATTAGTAGCTTTACATACTGCCGTCGATGCACGGGATTCGGGCATTTTCTCGTACCTATACGGTCTCTATTACAACGTGTAGTTATTATAACGGCATCGGTGCCGGATTCGAGTTCGGAGTAAAAACAACCATTATATTTTAAACCGCAGTAAAATACCGCTTGACAATAATCGTAATGTGATCCGACAATATTGTACCCGACGCGCGTTTTAGAGAAAGTGAACACCGCGTCTAGGCGGACATTTTTCTCGGAAAATATTACAGAGGATTTTCAACGTACTCGCCCGACCGCCGCCGAGGCTTCCGGCCGTTAAGATTTGGTTTCCTACAATCACGCGTCCGCGAATGCGCGATTGCGTGATCACGCAAATCATGAAATACGAAAAACAATATTAGTGTTTTCCAATAATTCACGAGCGTGCATTTCGACTTTCGGTAATGACGATTCACGCACGTGAATCACGTCCTGGTAGCCTGCAGGGCACAGTTTGCGTGACACGCGCATGATGGAAAATGAAAATCACAAGAGCCGATAATAAAATAAACAAATATAGGTGAAGTTTACCAAAAAAGTGTTTTAGGGGTTCTAGGGTCCGTATACAGGATTACATTACTTGCTATGACAATAACAGTATTATTTGCATATACGTATGCGTGTATATTATATATAATTTAGGTGTATGTGTCTGGTAATAACATAATACATAGAAAAGAAAAATTGTTAATACATTAGGATTCTAGCCAGAAAACGGTTTTAAAATCCTTTCTTAGTGCACCCTTACGTGGCGGTACAAAGTTCCCATGAAAATGTCAATTATTTAGCTAACATAGCGTGATATATACTTGATCAGTCAGCCAGGATACGTTCAATTACATGTTTAATACATACCAGGTGATAATTTAAGTGGGTACACTCATTATCTCGGACAGTATTGACTTTTTTCCGGAATTTGTTTTCTAGAACATTTAAGAAACAAGCTGCTCCGCAATTTTATATTTGTGTTAGTTTTTGTCACCTTTATTTTCGAGGGTAAAATAATTACCTACTTTTGATTTTCAAATAGATTTTCGTATTAAAATGTTCATAAATAGATTGAATATTAATTAAAATACATTTCAGTGTTGACATTTCTGATTTCTGTCAAGCCGTAGATTTATTACTTTTAATTTTAGGTTGGAGGAGAGTATTGGTGCATTATTAACACGCCGCGCGCCGTATTGCCACACTAATAATACTCCACTACTCTCATCGAAACCAAACTTAAAAGTGGAATATCCTGTCAATGGATGGACGGAAATAAAATATGTCGGCCTGGTAACTTCTGGAATTATTGGTTTTTGTACACAATTACTTAGTGCCCTTCTAATATATTATTTTATATAATTTAGTATAATTTTATTGAATACTTCGTAGGAAAATCTAAAATAAGCTTTGAAATTTAATCAACTATCAATTAAACGTCTTTGAATTATGTTTTTGAAGCATCCTTTAATTATCTTTTCGTCGTGCACATCATCACTTTTTTTCTAAAATATAAATAAACGAGTAAAAGTTCATCATCTGCAACCTTCTGTCAAATTGTAGAGTGCCATGTGTACTTTGTTCGGCCGTCTGACACTAACTGGATCAACATTCAGTCACAATCACGCATAATATAGTAAAACACCTACATTACGCATCGCGCAAGTGCGACCGAAAATTCGCGCATCGCGCACCACGCTTTCGCGGACGCGTGATTGTGCGAAACCAATGGTTTATTGTTCGCGACGACACTCGCTCGAGTCGAAATGAACGAAAATACGTAAAGAAAAACCGCACCGGACCACATATTATAATATTATTAACAACGCGCGCGTGGATATCGCACCCGAACGGAACGACGAAAAACTGACGGGCCGTGAAAACGCCGCCGCCGCCGACTCGAAAGCGACGCGGTGACCGGCGACCAAACGGCGTACGCGCGTCTCCACGTACATTCTCCAGAGGCAATAAAAACACTCGTTAATACGAAATCCGACTCTACGGCCTTCGCACTTCCCCCCCCCCTTCACTCCCAAAGTCTTCAAAGGTACGCATTCGCTCGTACCCGGCATGAGACTTTAACGCGCGCCGATACGTTTGAAAGCCTCTTTGAACACCGCAAACGTTGATCGCCGCGGCGGCGTCCATGATATTTCGTCGGGCGCGTGGTTCTCGTCGCAACCGCATTCGATTTTTCGCGTGCGCCCGACGTGATTAGGTTATTGCGCAGTGCCGGTTTCATTTTTCCGACGAGCGTGCCCGCCTTACGAGTATACGACATCCATGATGTTTCGTCGTGATAATCGTTTTTCGGGAGTTGAAAAAAAAAAAAGAATATTGAAAACAGTTCCGGAATAAAGGCACCCGGTGATCGTGACTACGAATTAGGTACCCGACGACACAGCTGACGCTGTCTACAGGGGGTTCGACGTTTTCGAAAACAAAATTTACCGTGTACCGTCTTACAAACGAGCAAGACTGCCGATTTGTATTTTTCAAACCGCTCTGCGTACAATATTTGTATTGTTAAAAATTAAAACGATAACGATTCTGGTCGTTTTTTTCGTATAATTCTGTTAAGCTATTCAGATTTACTTTTTCGGTACTGTTGCATTAAACGGACACCCTAAACGTCGTCCTCAGTTTTGAACGCAGAAACGAACAAAGAATATTTCTCTAAACATTTCGGCGGGACGCGTAGTAACACAAGCCGACGTCGGAACTGATTACCGGTTACCGAGTTATAGGTTTATAATGGGTAAAAAATGGTTCCTACCGGAAGAATGACAAAGGGTAATTAACGATTTTTAAAGAAATTAATTAAAATAATTAAAATGAAGTTTTGGCCCTTTTCGTCGAAACGGCTGCGATTTGATAGATAAACTATCGATAAATAATCATATAATACCCGTTAAAAAAAAATTAATAATACCAGCAATTAAGTAACGCTTAGACTATTCCACGATATTGATTGATTGATTGATTAAAAACTACCAAAATCTGATGATGTTTATAAACGCCGGTTTACAAAAAACGCATCGCTGTATACGTCTCGACCCTGTTATAATAATTTACGTTCCGAAAAAATATAAAACGAGTACACCTTTTTTTTTGTTTTTTAGGAAACTCTATTATTATGTAATAATAATATACTTAAGTACATTAGATAGTTTCGTTTTTATTAGTTCGCTTGATTAAATTTAATGGGTATTTGTAACCTTCGGCAACAATATTATTAAAATATTAATATATGCATTTGTGCGCGTTGTAATGCGCGCGTTATATTCTTTTCGTACTTAAATGTAAATAATAAAAAAAAAAAAAAAACGAAAAAGTTCACGAGATTCGAAAAGTTGTTTGTGTTTGATTAAAAATGGATACACACACACATAAATGAATGAAATTTGATTTGTAGCCAAATCGATACTGCGAACTTTTACGAAGATTGGCTCCCAGCCAAATTTATATACAATGTGCAATAAGTATAATATAATAAAATATATATTTATTTTTTTTTCGTTTACCGGTTCAAAATCAAAGAAGCGTTATTAATACATTATTATTTTAATATTTTTTGAGAAAAAATAACACGCAATCTATCGTATCATATCGGATGTGTTTTGTGTTTTGCCGACGAAATATAACGGTGTAAAAAATTACTGATAGTCCGTACGACGCGACGGGTAGGCAACTTATCGAATAAATATAATATTATAACTCGTCATAAATATAAATTGTATGCATAAAAAGGGGGGGGAGGTGGTGGAGAAAGAGTATATTTAAGTTGCACTCATTGGATTCGTATCGTTTGTGTGCAGCGCAGGTATTTACTAAAGACATTAAACGTTTTTACAAATTGAATAGGTAAATAAACAGTTTTGCTTACTTTATTTAGCAGTATTTGATTAAAGTATTTTACACTAGGAACCTGTACAAATACACCTGCATAAAATAGTACTTATATATATATATATATATACATAAATTGTGACCCCTTCTTAATTGTTAATAATTATTTACGATTAGTAAGATGTAGCGACTTATACAATTCGGTACGATCTGGCACACTATAAGTTATAATTTTTTATAAATGTATTATATTTAAGTAAAATATTAAAACATGACTAATGTTTATATTTATTGTAAAAAAAAAATCGTACACATACAGGTCGATTTAAATACGTAATACACGCTGTACAAATTTCTGAATACTATAATGGACTATAATTTCGAGTTTGTTTAAATTATGACTGTAGGAGTTAATCGGTTCGTAAAAACGATTAAGTTTTTTCCCATTTTTTCGTAAAGATGTAGATTTTTTACCTGATGATGTTTTATTTAAAATATTTTTTGATATTCCTAATACATTTTTTCCTATTTTCAAAACCACATTTTTAGTTAAAGATATGCTCCAATTATTTCACGTGGTTTGCAACACAAAAAATGCAGATTTTTTATCGGGTGTTACTTTATTTGAAATATACGTGTAGATCTCACAAGAGTTTTCAAAATTTAAAAAATACCTTATAAAAAATTATGTCGATACATAGGTTTTATTTCTATTGATTTTTGGGCTATCTTTGCTACGGAGAAAAATAACACGACCATAATACTATTACTCAACTCAGAATCATTTTTTTCGTCTCTAATGATTTATAGTTGTGCACAGAGTACGGGATGACCAGCATAACGTAAAACACTCGTTATCTCGGAAAGTTTACACTTTTTTCGGGAATTTATTCTTCCTTATAATATTTGAGAAATAAGTAACTCTATATTCTACAATTACTTTATTTTTGTCACCCTTAAATTAGGAGATTAAACCACTAAACCCTTTTGATTTTCTAATGGCAAGATATATTAAAAATTCCGCATGTAGATTGGGAATGGACTATTAGTTTAAATCAAATTGTGTGATAAAATTTTAAATTTCCATCAAACCGTTGACAAGATATTCCTCTTTTAATTGTCAGTGGGGAGAAAAGAGTGGTGGCATTATTTGTGTGGCAATACGGTACATGGCGTTTTAATAATGTCCAGTTGTCCAGTTGATAGTGTTGATTTGTTAACAATGTGTTTGTCATATATTATGGTAAAATGATTTTAAAAATGTTTGTTTCCATGATAACAATGATTGTTTAAAAAACATTAAAATAATAAAAACTTAATAATGACAAAAAATAAATAAAAACGGTTGCCAATGAAAATATTATTTTTAACATTGCAATCATTTTTAGGTTTAAGAACAAGGTTTTCCTCATTTTTCAAATACATATGAGAATTTCAAAACAATAACCACTTTAAAGAAGTTACCACCCAGAGAAAATTTCCTTTCAGAAAAAGTGCTCACACACAAAAAAAAAAATAAATTAACATCTTTGTAAAACCAATATATTCATCATTAAATTTATAATCTAAAATAATATTAATACGTCCTATTTGCACTGTTTGCGGAATTAATGAGTTTTTATCAACAATATTGATCGGACTGTTGGTATGACTGTAGGTTACTTAAAAGTATAGAACCATAATATTATAGAAATGAGATAATATGTTGTCTAGACACCGACGTGTCACTTTTGCCTATACATTACTCCGTGACCGAGCCACGTTAATAATTGATGACTTTTTATTTAATTCCGTTATACCACAGTTCATTAAATTAGTATACCATACGATTAAATTCATTTCAAGTCGAATAACTCTTTAAAAAAAAAAAAAACCGTTTACGTTATCGGCCGTTTCTATTAGTTTCTAAACGCAGCGAGAAACTTATTGGTTTTTTATTGATGTGAGCTTTCTTTTTACTTCCCTTGCTAGTAAACAATAGTTTTCAACCGGAAGACATTCTTCAATCATCGACTTCAAGAACGGTTTCTTGTGAAAAATTCCATTCAGTTGTCGCTTTGGTAGGTAATTTTTTTATTTTATTTTTTTTTTGTTACGTTTTGTATTTTTCTTAATAATGGTGAAAGACTGGAACGTCAACGTTATATTTACCAACGGAATATTTCACGCGACAACGGTTCCCGATTTCTGAAAAAAAAATTGCATTGCATTTTTTTTTTCTTTTTATAAATCAATGGAAAATTATCAAAAAGGTCAGGGAACCATTCACTATATAAGTATGCAATATTATCCACTATATTTTTTAGACTCGGTATACTTTTTAACACATTTATCGATCATAAAAAAATTAATTTTTTTTCTTCCCACAAAGAGTTTTACAATCAAGTGACATATTCAATATTAAATAGTCGTGAAATATTTAATAATTATAAAAATATGAATATTTATATTTTTTAACATACTACTTGAACTTCGATGTTAATTTAAAATTAAAAATTATGACGGGTATGAAAGCACTAAATTACTATTCTTGTCAGAAAAAGAAAATATTTTTGATACGGTATTTTATATTTTGTTTATATATAATAACTATAAGTATCTACTTATTATTTTGAAATGTTACTAAACGGTGCAATAAATAATAATTAAAAGAGGTCGGTGAAAAAAGGTGTGAAAGCAGACGTTTTTTTTTTTGTTTTTCATAACATTTCATTAATTTACTTATTTTTTTTTTCACATACATTAGAGCTGTATAAAAAAATTAGGAAAAAAATCAAAGAATATCAGTTTCAACAATTTTAAAAACAATTAACAACTTTGTTTATTGACCCCGTCAATTAATTCGAATGAATAATCATCATGTCGATATCAATAATATCAAATATAAACATAAAAGTTAAATTAAAAACCATTTTCAGCGCATTTTTTGAGATATTAAAAGCATATTTTATTGCTGTTTTTATGCATATTTTGTGCAATTTTAATGGTTTTCACTGTATTAAATTAAAAGCCCTAATAATAATTCTAAATTCCGGTGAATGCCCATGCACAACGTCGCGAAGTATTTTTAACCAGGCCAGCCACTAGCCGCATCTCGTTTCTGCGATACCCGTCCGTTTAATATCGTTTAGTCTTGCAATTATTGTTCCGTTTGCCGCTTTGTTCGAGCCAATACAATTTGTTCCTAGAATTAATTATAATAATCGTGTTGAAAATGAAATATTGTAGGTCATAGGGTATGGAACGACTGCGGGCAACGCCGTTTTCACCGGAATGCCAACAGATCTTATTGAAACGCGTTATTTTAATTTCAAATCGGTTTTACGATATTAAAAACAAAAATATTTGGACATAATTCACGCGACGGATGAGCCACTATTGTAGGTGAGAAGTTGGAAAAGTATCCTACCTATGACACAGTGTTAATTAGGATACAGACGGGAATTCAATTTATATCCGTACGCAACGATTAACCATTGCTAAACAAAAAACGACCCGGAGCGAAGTTTCTTTAAAATATGTACGTACGTTTTTCCGGTTTTCCTATATTTTTTTTTCAATTATTATGAAAACCACTTGGTTGATCAACAAATGACTTGAAGTACCAATCAGATAAAAATTCAGAAAATCGGAACAAAATTTCTGATAGACAAACATTTTGTTTAAATAAAATACAATAATAATAATAGACTAGCGACGGGTTTGACTACAAATTTAG